CAAAGAGATCATTCATCCAGATAGTGCTCTTACAAGAGTGCTTAACATTCAAGTGCATGCACGAAATTAGTTGCCACGTGAAAATGTGTTTCTTTTGAGTTAATACCAATTTCAAATGTATAAGCTAACGACATTCTCCTCCTATTTGATATGTAATTCGATTAACTCTTGCCTCACTCGCCATCGTTAGAGTCTCAATTAGTCCAAACTCTCTTATCCTAACGATTAGTCTCTACCTTCGTACAGTCGAGTTGTTACAGGAAACACGTCAGAGTTTTAAGTACACTTCACATCGAACATAGAATTAGGGTATAGGGGTTTTCTCGTTACAAACTTCTATTACTTTAAAACCCAAGTGTATTTCTCTCTTCTAATATGCATGTCGATATTTTTGGGGATCAATAAGAAATCAAGCTTATTTAATTTTTATCGTGCTTAAAAAAATACACAAATAAATTAGCCGAAATAGGTTAATTTGTTTAAATGGGTTGTAAATCGATCATTTTGTATGAGTCTTCTTACTTGCCAAACATAATTGGTGCTATTTTAATGAGGTTCTCGTGCAAACTCTGCTCGAGTAAACTAATGTTCATCGATGCTTTTCTTTTCCTTTTTTTTTACTCCTCATGACATTCAATAGGATAGAATCACCTTTGGAGCCTCAAGGGTGATGCTTGTTAGCTCGAGTGGTGGTGTTGCTCCAGTTGGATGCCGAGCTCGAATCCATCCTCGATCATTTCCGCGGACTTACCTGGTGGCAGGAGTGGAGGCCTCCTCGCCACGGTGTTATCTTGCCGTTCAAATTCCAATATCAACCTTGTTAAACGAATTTTATTGTTCCAACTCGACAAAAGAAATCAAATTGTCTCGATCTTTCCTTTTGTAATTCAAACTCTCATCTCTCACCCACGTTTTGCAGTCACACACAATCCCATTTGAAACTCGCAGTTCCTTCATCTCCATCCTCCTCCTCCTCACCTCATAACCTCTCCCACGTTTCTCTCTCCACCACTTTACTTCGTGGAGATCATCCTTAAGAAGATGGTCCAGTACAGAAGCTTGGAACAGCATCAATGCAACAATGAAGAAGAACCTTCGAGGACATCGCTACTGAGCGGACTGATGGAAAAGCCTGCACGCCCAAGTCTAGGGATTTGGGCGAAGGTGGGGCTGAGGACTGGTGAATTCACCTGAGGCTACCTGGTCGAGTTGTTTTTTACCATGAGGTAATTTTTTGTACCATGGCAATCGAGAATCATATTTTTTGGCATGATTAAAGAATGTCGAGAACCAAAATTCATTCTTTTTAATAATCCTAACTAGAAAATATACAAAAGTATTGCAATATGTAAAGATTATATAATTTATTATATAGTATAGATATAATAGTACGATCATAAAAATAGTAGGATAAACTCGGAAATGAAACCTTTCAACTTGTAAGGCTTGCGGTCCACATAAAGGGGTTCTAAAGTTGGTCTAAGCAAGGTGTGCGAGAGAACTCATGGAACTCGCCAAACCAATAGAACCAACATGGCCGAGTAGGTTATTGGGAGAATATCATAGGTTGCGAAGGTTTAGACCACCCTGCACCCGGCTTATGCCTCGGATCCTAGTAGAGAGATACATGGCACCCTAGATAATATTTAAGTAAATATATATCTATGAATAATTAAAGATTTTTCCTTTTTCTTTTTAAATTTTTTATATTTAACTATGCGAATTGATGGGAGCGATCATATTTATTTATTTCTTTTGCTTTTTGGTGTTATCATTTCTTGTAGTAATGCACTTAATTTTATGTCAAATGTTGAATATCTTAATAATAAAACATTATAATTTGTAAAACCAACAATTTTAGCTTCTAAGGTGGTTCACAGCGAAAGCATTCTGTATGACAGTTACACCACGTGACAGTATTGACGTGGTGTAAACGATCGATCATTATTGTCTGCACATAAGCTGGCGAGAGTGATCCACAACACGGTCACACCATACATTGTCACATGGTGTACTCGTCACATAAGTTTCAGATTTTAAAATTGGAAACCGGTGCTTTTAGAGTAGGTTCTAGGCTAGGGTGAGTACCCCCGACCAATCTGGGAACAAGCATGTCCCTAGATCTAAATCCTTCCCTGCTCTAGAAGAGGAGGTGAAAAAGTATATTGTGTTCAGGAGCCCGATTTCAAAAGTGGGTTCGACTTTTTGAATCGTGAAACTATGTTATCTTCTTTATGCGTACTTGGGCACTGGGGAACCAAAAGTCCGTCTGGAAATAAAGTAGGAAATTGGGTCTGAAGACATTATCAGGCCTTTCTGCCTTGCAACAACAATGCGGGAAAAGTACAAAAAAAAAAAAGTCATAAATCTATTGCATTTGTACTAATTCAGTCTTAAACCTTTTAATTGAATCAATTTAGTTCTAAACATTTTTACATTGATATCAATTCAGTCCATCCGGCTAATTTAGGTCGGAAATCGCTGACGTGAATGCCAACGGTCTTACGTGGCACCGCCGGCTCTGACGTGGACAAATTTTATAATTTTATAATTATTTTTTCAGATTTTTTTAATGTTTTTTTATTTTTTTATTTTTTTTTCCTTTCCTAGAACTGGTTGGCCGGCGACCCTCGCCTGGGCTGGGTGAGGGCCCCGCCGCCCTCACTTGTGGCGGGCGAGGGCGTGGCGACCCTCATGTAGACCAGTCTGTGGCCAGCAATGGTTTGCCGGTGACCTCACTGGCCAACCAGTTATGGGAAAGAAAAAAAAAGAAAAAAAAGAGGAGAAAAAAATATTAAAAATTTTGAAAAAATTATTAAATTTGTCCACATTAGCGCCGATGATGCCACGTAAGACTGTCAGCATCCACGATTTCCGGCCTAAATTGGCCTGATGGACTGAATTAGTACCAATATGAAAAGGTTTAGGACTAAATTGGTCCAATTAAAATGTTTAGGATTGAATTGTTGCCAATGTAATAGGTTTATGACTTTTTTTGTACTTTTCCAAATGCCATTTTCAGGCCCAGCTGCAGACCATCTTCCAAACCTTTTTGATCGGCTGCATACTAGTAATTCTTATGGGGAAAATTGTCCAAAAAATCCTAAACCTATTGCACTATTGCTAATTCAGTCCTAAAACTTTTAAGTTTGCCACTTCAATCCTAAACTTTTCACTTCTTGTCAATTGAGTCCATTTGGCCAATTTTGACCGGTGGGCATTGACGTGGCCGTCGGCCGTTTCGCCACTACTAACGTGGTAATTTTTAAATATTTTTCTTTGAATTTTTTAATATTATTTATCTTTTTTTTTTTGGCCTTCTTCCGTCTGGCCGATTTGGCAACTGGCGACCAGCCAGAGGCACGGGTCGGCGAGGTCGACCTCGTCGGCCTTTGGCGAAGCTCGCCCCTGCCAGCCACTGGCGAGGGCGAGCCTTGCTCTCCGCTGCTAGGCTGACCTCGCCCAGATCTGGTGAGGTTGAGCCTCGACCAGCCATGGCGAGGCCGACCTCGCCGTCGTTGGGTTCCACCTCGCCCAGCAATAGTGAGGTCGGCCTCGATCTGGGCTAGGCAACGGTGGGCGAGGCTCGCCCTTGCCAGTGGCTGGTGGGGGCAAGCTTCGCCAAAGGCCGGCAAGGTTGACGTCGCCAGCTTGCGCCTCTGCAACTGGCCAGAGGGAAGAAGGGCAGAAAAAAAAAATATTAAAAAAATTGAAAAAAATATTTAAAAATTGCCACGTCAGCGTTGGCTGGACGGCCGCCACATTAGCACCGGCAGGCCAAAATTGGCCGATGGATTAAATTGGCAAGAAGTGAAAAGGTTTAGGATTGAATTAGCAAACTTAAAAGGTTCATGACTGAATTGGCAAAAATGCAGTAGATTTAGGACTTTTTGGACAATTTTCCCAATTCTTTTGGCATCGTAATATGGATGATAGGCGGAAAAGAGAAAGGGCATAAACACACACATCGTCTTAGTCAGACCATCAATACTCATCAAGCTGTCTAGTGTCGTGTTCCGAGCATTCCCGTGCTTTGGCGGACTTCGACTTCACTCTAGGGATCTACCCCGTTCGCGAACACGTGATGAAATAGGCGAGACTTGATCAACTACGGAAGATACATGATTATGTCACAAGTTGATCTGGTGGTTTATTTTTTACAGATGATTGGCCAGTGTCGTTTGTCATGGACGTTGAATAGTGCTTCATGAGGTTGGCTTGAAAGATGGTGGCTATGATCTGGACATTTGGTGGGTTCGTCTCAGCATCCTCATGCGCATGAAGGACAAGTCGGCGAGCATCCATGCCGTCGATAGGCAGATCATGGAAGTCGAGACGAAGCTGCTGGGGCTTTTCCAACCACAAGAGAAGCAGATCGTATTGAGTACCTCGTAATGGACTAAATGTCATTTTTCATACAGCCAAAGTTGAGCCACCAAAGGCTGAATGAGATTAACCTCAACACATACTCAGAGTAAAACGTCTCCTCGTGGCCAAAGCTGTGTTGCTGTCAATCTTGGCTGGTTCACCAATTCAAGAAGCAAAAGCAAAGGGCACACTAGGGTGGATTGAATATAAAGTCTGGTACCCCACGGATCTCCCCAATAGCCTGACGAAAATGGCCTTCTTCCCCCTGTCTAGATAGGCTTTGCGGGTAAGTCGGATCGATAGAGACTCTCGGGGATAGGTGATTGTTATTCACATATTCAATCTCGACCATGTTGTTCTCAGTAAGGTCAACCTTGGGACCTCCGTTTTTCAATAACTATCTTCAGTTCGAAGGGAGAGGTAGAGCATTAAGTCGAAATATCGGGAATTAATCTGTTTGGAGTCCTGCTTAGAATGTCAGCCGTCTTAGCTCAGCCGGTAGAGCGCATGGCTTTTAACCATGTGGTCGTGGGTTCGATTCCCACAGACGGCGATTTCTTATTTAATTAATCATACTCTTTTTTCTGCAATCTTATGAGTTATTACCATGTAGAAATAGCTATCTATGCTGATTCTTGAGTGGAAACACCAAAAGCATTTACTGAAGTCATCACATTTTAAAGACAAACCATCCTCTCTCTTGAGTTTCGATCCATCTACCACTGGATTCAGTTGAAACCTCAGTAAACTCTACCTACAGGATACACATAGACATACAGCTCCACAGACTTCCCAGTTGGAAGGCCAGGAGGGACGAGGTTTTTCGAATAAATGGCAAGTGAAAACTCGGCAATGAGAAACAAGAAAATTGTCCGTGAAACGAATTTACACCAATCTTGGGCTCTAATTACAATCCACTGGATATCGCCGTGTGATCTTCAATTGCAAAGCTGAGTGCAGAGACCCTGAATCTGGGAAGTGGTAGCACCAGGCAATGTGTATGTTCTTGATTTTCCATTGCTTGAGCAAGTCAAGTTCAGCTGGCTTCCTATTTGGTCAGACTACAACAGAAGGCAATGTAACTGATCATTAGCGAAATCATTTGGCATAATGAGAGAGAGAGAGAGAGAGAGAGAGAGAGAGAGAGATGACTACCGAGCATGAGGCGGGCCCGGCCTTGCAGCTCCATCTAGAAGTCGGAACACAAGACATGTAGTGGCACCATGAACAAGAATCATTTGCGTTCACGCCCCGCAGAAGCATCACCATACCGAGAATGAACCTGCAGCATTTTAATTTAGGGCCTAGCATCGAAATCACCGTCAAGAATGTATCACAAAATGTAGATTATGCAATGTAACGAGATGATATGAGGCCATTTTTGTGGAAAGATTACCCGGCGATCAAGGCAATCAGAGAAATGACCCACAATGCGCACTGATATGTCTTGAATTTAGGCTTCGCAGAAGCGGATGCATATCCTGGAGGAGCATACTTCTGAATGATCCAGCTATACTGGGGTCGGATGAGAAGCAAGAATCCAAGCAAGAAGCCTGACAGGAATCCTCCGATGTGAGCAAAGTTATCGACGTGCGGAAAAATCCCGACTGCCAAATTGATCACGACGATGATCAGGAGGGTCAAGAATGATGCTACCTGAAGAAAGCACGTAGAACAGAATCGGTTGTTTCATAAAAAACTACTACAGAATTCACTTCTAAATTTAATCACTCATTTGAACGTTCGCATTTCGATGCGATGCAGAAAAGTACCTTGTTAGCATAAATAGACCAATTAGTGATGATTTCAGAGAGCATCCCTCCCAGTAACCCAAAAACTGCACCAGAAGCACCAACGGAAATACTTGACTGGATGAAGAGGGATGACATCAGACTTCCTCCAAGTCCAGAGATGACATAGAGCAACCCGATCAGCACTGCAGGTCAAAAAGAGAAAACAGAGTTTACGAGCCAAAATTTACTGAGATACTCGCATTTTAACAGATTGGAGGTAACTATACGGACGACAAACTGACAGGGCAACATTAGACAAATTTGAGATGCATATCAAACTCAGATGAAGGTGATCAGAGCTGATTCTATAACAGAATTGACATTAAATTGAACAAGCAAAACTGAGATACATACATACCGAACCCAAACTCTTTCTCCAGCCGAATTCCAATGACTAAAAAACTCAACATGTTTGCTAATAGATGGAAGACTCCTCCATGCAACCAGATGCAGGTTATCAGGAGCCACACTTCATGTCTGTCCACTACCCTGCTAACTTCCAGAGCACCCATTTTCTGAAGCCTAAGACCACAAACTGGGATTTTTCAGGACAAACAAGATATCTGTAATAAATGGTTAGTCACGTAGGAGTCAATTAAGAGTAAAGCATGAAGCTGGAGTTCCATCATCGTCCTGAGGCTCATTGTTGTGAAACTCAAATCCAACAGATAATTTGTGCAAGTTACAGAGCCGAATAGAGATGAAAAACAGGGGAAAATCAGAGGAACGAGGCTCACGTTGATGATGAAGGGCCAAGAAGAGGGTTCTCCTTGAAGGGCTGGAAGGAGAATCTGCCCAAGAACTTGGCGACACAAGAGACGGAGTTCTCAGGACAATTGTTGACGTACATAGTGATCACAAGCATGACAGTGTTCGCGACGATGAAGCAGGGCACAAGCAGGGGCTTCCATTTCTTGAAATGCTCGACTTCTCTGTACAACACGGGACTCGGAGCAGACACAGCCGTGTCCGCATCGACGTCGATGTCGACCGGGTGTACTGCATTGTTGCCTCGCCACAAGCTTGCTCTGGCTTTGATCTCGGAGGAAGGTGAGGTCGATGGATGATGGTCTCCGCTAGCCATGGATGGAAGTATGCAAGCCCAGAAATAGAGAAACTATGAGATCATGCCATGGACGTGGGTTGAAGCAGAGAGTCCATCAAGGTAAGTGGAGTTGCAAAGCTGCAACTTGCAAGGCAGGGAATGTGATGATGTTCTCCAATGGACGAATGAAATGGCCTTTCTTATTGGGTTCTCAAACCTCACAACACCAAGAGAGAGAGAGAGAGAGAGAGGACTTGAAGCCAAAAGAATAAAGGAAAAAAGCGGTGGGTCAACGGTCCTCAGCAAAACTTGACTGCTTATCGTGGAGAGTTGTTTATCGAAGTTGAGCTGGTTTGATATTCAAGAGCACATGACAGTATCCTTTCTTGACAAAACTATGCATAATAATAATAATTTTTATCAATTTTTTAAGTAATTACCACGGGTAGGCTCTGCAAAGGTTGGTCGCCAGACTACTTGATTGAACAGCACATGATGGAGAGATGCAAAAAAATCGCTTCAAAAAACCTAATCTGGAGAAAATCATGACATGATTCTTGAGTGGAGCCTTCCATGTCAACGTGTTCTCTAGTTCAGTGTCGGTTCAATCAAACTTAGCGCGGACGACTTGGCAAAGAGTGACTTAGCGAGGATGAAGGGCACGCGGCTACTTGAAGCTGAAGAATGCAGACCCAGGTTCGACGTGCACGAGGCGTGAAAAGACAGTCAGTCAACCTCAAAAGCATATCCATCAGCTTCCCGTCGCCCCCGCCTCCGGTTGTGCCGACAGGGCCTTGTTTAAATTTACCAGATTACACGCGAGTGCTGCTGTAGCCTCTTTGTCCGCCTAATATGGAGGAAACTCAAGTGGGTTTTCCAAGAAAAACATGTAGATGTCGATGGAATCGCCAGGACCCTGCCGGGACTTTCGAATGATTGCGTTCTTGAAAGTCTGCGATGTTCTGCGAAATCTTGAAATTGGAAGTTTAGGGTTGGCTGTGACAGGAAGGTGTTAGGTTAGGATGAGAGGAGATCGTGGGCTTGGAAAAGAAGCAAGAAGAAGCGGAGTTAGCTTTGCATGCAACAGAAGAATCACCGTCAATGGTAAAATATGTTGTGCAATCGGCAGTAAATTTTAAATTGTCGAGGTAAATTTGTGCAACTAGCAGGTTACTGATTATCGTTTACGAGCGATGTTAGTGACATTACCGGTTGTAATTCGCTATGCAAGTTACGAGTCACAAACATAGCTCCGTTTTGTTATCATTTGAGTAAGTAATTTACTATTCAACTTACGAATGTCAATGTAATTGTAACTTATGAATTTTTTTTTATTAAAAATTTACTACTCAAAACTAAATCTTAGTGGTTGAAATAGTAAGTTACCACTGAAGCTTTACAATTTACCAAAGATGGCTATGCTTTTAAGTTACTAATGGTTAGTTATCGCCTAGTGTAATTAGCTTACCATCCGACTTACGGCGTCAATGCAATATATCTCATGAGACTTTTTAATAAATTTACTACTTAAAATTAAATCTTAGTGGTGTAAATAGGAAGTGAACTATGAATTTAATAACTTACCAACATAGCAAATTATAATCTGCTTGCAAAGAAAAACACGTCCGCTTGTAATAACGATGACTGTTCGTGAGTTGAGGTATTTTCAACCTGGTAAATTAATTATTTTATTAGTACGGTAGTGATAAATAGACTCTAGTACTCGTAAACTTGAAACAATAGTAATAATCTAGTAAAAATATACAGTGATAAAATAATTATTTTTTCGCAGATTACAAACTTTAACCAACACTAGTAGTAAATACGTGAGCAACTCTTTCTGTATGTACTAGCGGAAAAATGTGATGATCGTTTGTAATGGGGTAATTACCACAAAATTCCTAAATTTATTGTGCAGATATCAATTTAGTACTAAACATTTTAATTTTGCTAATTTATTTTTAAACTTTTTAACGATTTGCCAATATAGCCATTCTAGCTAATTTTGCCTGGAAATCGCTAACGTGGATACTGGCTATCCTCGTGGTACGACTTGCACTGACATGCGAATTTAGTTATTGGTCAAATTTTTTACTTACATTCGAATTTACCGTGGACCAAACAAAATTCCATTTTTTACAAACGAGATTTTAGGAATGTGCCTGCACTATATTTAACGCTGGTGGAAAACGTAAAAGATTTTAGGATTAGGAGGCGACGGAGAAATTTGGCAAAATCTTGGCTTTAAGGGGGGTGGGTCGACATGTAGCAACTTTCTATGAAATTACAAATGTTGATATAAAATTAGTTAAAACCTACAGCAGACACTTATCATCGGAGGCGGGTTTTAACTTTAATGCTCCGTTTATTTTGTAGAAAATTAAATTTTTTAAAAAATATTTTCCTAAAAATGATCGCTTGTAATAATTACTTAATGAAAAATATTTTCATTATCGATAATAATTTATGTTTAAATATTTTCGTGAACGATAGATATATTTTTTGTTCGTTCATTTTTATAAGCGATAGGAACGATTATTTTTAGGAAAATATTTTCCAAATCATTTATTTTTTGTAAAATAATCGGATTACGACACCACTTATCTCTCGTTCATTCATTTGATTTATGATCGGAGCATAGAGTCTAGAGAATTTTTTGGTCTGGTTCTTCCGAAATTCCAATCGCCATCATATCGTATACTTTTGAAATTTCTAGCTCGCTACCATTGAAATCCTTCGCTCGAATTTGAAAGGCCTTGGCCTTGCTAAGGGAAAGGAAACACGAGATTTTGTCCAACCCTCTATTTTGGTACCATGTGATCTCTTTAACGTTCTCCGTGTAGGTCTAAAACTTTGTGATATCACTATCAAATGTTCCCGATGAAAATATGGTTTAATATCTACGTTACGCGATAACCCTCACTAGATGGGATCATAGGTCAGGTGGGCTTGGGAAAGCAATTCCCTTCTTGAGCCTGGCCGGACCACCTTAGGGTAGCAGGTTTCGGTGTCCTTGTCGAAAATTGCATTTGAAGTGTGAGATCTTTGCAATTTTAGCTATGTTTACCCTTCACCTGGATATGTACCTATGTGAACAGCTGATATGCCTGGAAACTATTCAGGTGCTGGATTCTGCTATCCCTCAGTAACAATCATATAGTATCACATCATCTAAACAATGCTTATTCCTCGCCGGAAAAAACGAGACGCGAAAGAATCGCCACACAAAAGGGCACTGAGATCAGATGGTCGCGACGCAATGTGTTAAACAAGGGGATTTTCACATAAAAACCATTCACACATCTGGTAAATCCCACGTATATACATGTTCAGGAGAATCCTGACCGTGATTCTGATGTCCCCAGTCATCTTTTGATTTTTGACGGCTGCTGTAGCGACGACCTCATTTTTGCTCCTTCAACTATGTGCATACCGATCTCGCTGTGCCGGTTTCCAAGTAGAAAGGGCGCATAGAAACCGTCCTTTCCATCCTAGCAACAGCCACTTGCTGACTTCGTCTACGACGAAATCTTTGTGGTAGCTCGAAACGATCCGGTCGATCGTGAACCGCACTACCTTCCTGCTTAAGGGCACCTGCCCGAACCCGGCCCTCAGGTTGCGTAATTGCCACTGCTTGTACGTCTCCGGTCTCTCCACTCTCTCCCATCCCTCACAGGCAATCGAATTCAATGCCTCCCTCCCGAACATATCCTTCTCGATCAGCATCCTCTCCCGGTTTTCGCGGGGTATTATGGTGTCAAGCATGTCGAATAGAGAAGAAAAGTGATGCAGAGCCTCCCTAAACCGGGTGACAAAGAACGGGGCATTGTGGGTCCCGTTGATAACACCGTGGATGAAGAGATCCGGCTGGGCTCTTGTTATCAGGTTGAGGACAATGTCTCGCGAACTTTCTTCCGTGATGGTCTCGTCGAACAAGTTCTCGAACCGGTACAAGCAGTTAACTATAGTCACTTCATCCCTATCGATCTTGAGTTCCTCTAGTTTAATGAACTCCCACCTCTTCGCAATGGCGTTGTACTCAAACGGCACCTTGAAACTTTCAGCGTAATTTGCCAAGCGCCGACCCGTTTCCTCGACTCTTTCTGCGGGCCTGAATCCGGGTTGAGGCAAGTCTATGCCGGTGATCCGGAGCTTCGTGGGACGAGGTCTCCGGGCAAGGTGCTGAATCAGAGTGGGCCATTGGAATCCATAAAGAATGCCGAAATCGATGACGTGAACCCTCGTCTTATCCGCCACTGTATCCAATATCGTCAGGTTCGAGACGACATTAGAAGTTCTTTGGAATGGACAAGCGGCAAGGTACAGCTGGTACGCATTAAGCATATCAGTGGCGGCTGTTTTCTTATTGACGAGGCCTCTATATATTTGGCTGCCTGTGCCGGCGAACCGTGCCTCAAGACCATCAGCGAAGTAGTGAGCGAGTCTCTGGGTCCCATTACCGAAAGGTGAGGCGTGTTTCCTGATCTCATTCAGCAGAGCGTTCGCGCTCCTATGATCATTTGATGCCACGGCTTGTGCACATCGGATGAGGAGCGTCCTCACATCGACTACCTCCACTTTCCCTCTTTTCTTCTTGCCGCGACGTCTACCACCTTTGGGCTCTTCGATCTTGGGTGTGATTTCGTTCACTCCGTTCTTCAACGACGCACGGAGACTCAAAAGACGGGCCAGGCCCTCCCCTTGGCTGCTAAGCAGAACGATGTCGAAATTCTCCGAGCGAAGTTCGGATTCTTCATGAACAAAAGCCTGCTTGCTACTTCTCTCTTCCATGTTTCCTTCCTCCCTATGGAGACTCACTTTCCTCTTCAATGCATCGAGGCGGTTTGCCTTGTCAATCTTTCCATTCGGATTCGGAGATAGAAGTTTGGTATTTGCTTGATTAGGAAGAAACTTGCTGGATTCCTCGACCCCCATCCTAAACTGCCGAACAAATTGGCTCTCACCACACAAGTCAAGCATCTGCGCATTACCCGCTCGATTAGGTTGAAACGTTGCTCGACTAATATCTCTTTCAAAACTCACTGTACCGTAATTGCTTGGATTTTGAACCCAACCAGTACCAGCAATGTATCCATTTTGCCTACTGTCGTTAGTGCTAGTATATCTAGTGTTGTCTAAGAGACTGTCATTTGAGTGTTTGTCATTGTAGGTGACGCAATTAGCGCGGCTTGGCTCAGGTGAAGGCGGGTACTTCTTGCCGAGGACCTCGTAAAAGGATTTTTCAGCTGACAATAGATCCAAAGAATCTTGAAGCATGTATGTCTTCTCTTCTATGTCTTCTTCCATGAGAATGCGACTAATGTATTCGAAGACTGCATCAGAGAATTCAGCCTCTTCGGTGTATGGTGCATCACGACAATCATTTGAAAATGGGGCAACATCAACCAAAGGATGCATCTCTCCGCATTTGTCGGGTGCGCTTTGAAAAGTCTGTCTTGAAACAAAACTACGATCTACAACAGCAGATATTGACTGATCGTCCGAGCGGAACCCATTAGAAGGATACAAGGCTCCCATCAGCGGATCCATCAATGCGTTCTCACTCTGACGGTAATAGAGCATGAAAATACCAGCTTCACTGCAATAGACTGGTTATCTTAGCGCAAAGTTCGTGGTTTCGTTGCTTTCAACTAAGAAAAATATTCTCAGCTAGCTGACTTATCCTATTGTAACCTCAGACTCAGATTGCCAACCTGAACCGAAAAGAATCAATCTATACTAGTTCTGATATTTTCCAGTAATATTTGAAAAGAAAACGGTTTCTCGATGCCCATCATTGTTGCCAGTGACAAGTAGATCAAGTAACCAAACCAACCATAATTTGCAGATGCCCTTTTACCGCATTCATATAAAATGCCGAAACTCAGATGTCCTCTACGATAGTTGACGACTTAATTTACCTATTCTCTGCTTAGAATTTTCTTTGCATCGAGTTTTGACAGGAAGATCGAAAGCGTACCTGAAGGATATCCCGGTTCCAGAGAGAGAGAGATGAGGCAGCAGAAGCCGAGCCCAGTCTTCATGCGCCTGAAGAATAGCAGCAAATTACTGCCGCCACCCAAAGATCATTACTTAAAGACAACAAATTTCTTCACATGCTGACCACCTTGTCAAGCGTAGAAAATTTAATAATGTAAAGGAATCTGTCGCGCTAAAATATTATGTGTGTCGATTCGTATGTATGTACTTAGACTGGAAAACACATGAACAAAGTCATTGTTTTCATTTCATAGTCTGGTCTGCAGCGATTGCTAATATTATAATGGATCGTGCATACTCATCGCAGGAATCAATGTCGAAATAAAAAAGGTCCCCTGGTCGGTCAATCTCCCGCGAAAAGGTTCACTCCATGTGCTCTTCATCGACTGCAGAACTGGAAAAGAGGTACAAGGTAATGAGTCAATGCACCAGATGGGAGGAGAGCGACGACTTCGAGATCTGTCCTTTCTATCTCGTTCTCTCCATGTGAATGGACCTGCCAAAATGAACTCAGACACAATGTTATGTCCAAAAAAGTTGATCTAGACTCGCCAGGATCATATCATTAGGCGCAAGTTTTAGGATTTCAGTTGTGATTTTGAATTAACTCATTCAAGATATTATTCGCATTGGCCCGTTCCATATTGAGCCTCACGGTTTTGTTTTTTGACGTGCAAGTGGGCACTTGGGTCATTCATCCTAATAGTGTTCTCACCTCAGCACGCTTAAATATTGTTGTTATGTCAAAATGCGCATCCTTGAGTTAATTCCAGTCTTCAGACGTATCCCAAATTCTCTTTCCCTGTTTGGTGCACAATTTGGTGCATTTTTGCCCCTTTTATCATCCTAGAAGCCTACTAAGAGCTGCTCTTTAACCAGATCCTCGTGCCTCAGCGACCACTTTCCACCATGCTCAGACCAAGTTGTTCCAAAATGTAATAATGAGCTTAAGTAGCCCATTATTTTGTTAGTCAAGCGCAAGCCCGACAACCCTTTAACAATTTGGCCTTAAAAACTCAGCCCCCTTTCACTTATTCTTCATCAGTTGCACAAGTGAGCGTAAAAGGAAGACGAGACCACCGATAGACAAAACAACGAAAACGCAAGAAGGAGCTCGTTTGTGAAAAATAAGGAAAGAAAGGAGAGAAATTTTTTTTGCGCATACATAATTCGGATGTCTCGAGAAGCCAAATCAATTACAAATTGCAACGCCCGGTAAATATTCAAGCCTATTATTTATTTAATCAAAGTAATCTTCGAAGTTAGGTCTTAAATTTGGAGTTATGTGAAAGTCGAATTGTGAGGTTTGATTAAGAGGTTATTGAGCTTTAGATTTAAATGAAAATGGTAGATGAATGCATTGCAGAGCTGTGGGGTTTGATGAAGATCGATTCCAACATACGGTTTGATCGGAACGAATTTGTTGAAGTTTCGCATTCGAGTTGCGCATAGCGGACGATACGTGTAATAGATAAAGATGAATGCTTGTTATAAATGAGTTTATTTGTTAGCGTGCATGTGTTGTTTTTTCAACTAATAAGCATAATTAGTCGAGTCGTTTGTTAGATTAGTGTATCACTCAGTTTTTTATATCGTTTTTCGATTAATTGATAGGAATACGAGTGTGTCGGGTTGAGTAAGCATCGTATATTGGTTTTCAGCTTTCTTAGTTGAGTGGTGCTATTTCTTCTATGAATTTCTAAACTCATGTCTTGAAAGCAATACATATTCGATATTATTATGAGTAATGAAAAAACATGTTTGTTGCATAATAATCTGGATCAGGTATTTACTACTCTTTGGTCATTTTGAGAATGGTTGAGAAACATATTATGAAAAGTGTCGTGAAAGTTTACGTATATGTATTGCTTTGTGAATAGGTTTATGAAATGAACTCCGAAATAATTTGAGAAATGTTTTGTGAATGGCGCTACGAAATGTAATACATATCGATTTCTGAATTGGGTTTATGAAGAATTCCGAAATGGTTTGAAAAATACCTTGCGAAATGTATTCCCATTGACGAACGAAGTTGAGAATTATTATATGTTTTGGTTTGTGAAATTGATTTGTAATATATATATATATATATATTATGGAATGACTTTGTAGATTTTGGAGGATGCTGTTGTGGGTTTGTGTTGAACCTCAGTGTTTCTATGAACGCATTAAGGATTTTATGGGTATGCGTATTAGTTTCAGGATATCCTTGTAGGCCGGTCACCGGCAATATAGGAGGAGACCTACCTAATGGGGGAATCTTGCTCGCCTTTGTCACGGGGCGTTATGCGTAATTATGGTTAAATACTTAGAGCATGAGATTGATTCGTGTACTGGACCATTGAATATTCTGTTTTGATATTAGTGATGAAAAGGGTAGTTCTACTATGGGTATAGTTATGTTGAAGTAAAATATAACTCATTTTGATCTTGTCAGTTCGTTATATTTTGAATTTGGTGTAAATGAGTTATGTTTTCGTGTCTTAAATGTGTAGTGCATGCTTGATCTGCTTAGAAGAGATGTATTACTCACTGGGCTATGATTGCTCATTCCATTTATCTTACTCGCTTTTCTTGTTCTTCAACAAACCGTAAGTAGGACGAGAGCGTTATTGTTATTAGGAGGATATTTTGATAGTGGAGATTTTTGGGTATGAGTTGTATAGAGCTATGATAAGCTTCTGAGTTAGTTGTTTGTTAGATGTGTCTATATATCATTTTGATGAATTATAGAACACTCTGATATTATAACTAGATGACCTTGTATCAAATATATATGGATGTATACATTTCGATATCAAGTTAAGTTATCGTTATGTTTTAGACTGCGTCCTTTGGGTAAAAGTACGGTTGTGTTATTGCCCTTGTTTTTGTTGAGTTTGGGGGGTGACAAGTCTTGCTATCTACTTTCTAGCAAAAAAAAAAGTCTTGCCATCTACTCTTATGGTAAATCTCTCAAAAATAGCAAAACCTCCTAATGAAATTACCATTACCTATTGCAGACATGCTCAATCAAGGTAAGAACACAATCTACCGAATAAAAAATCATGCAACTCCACGATTCTTTAGGCCCGTAGAATACTTGTTGAGGTCCAATATGTACAGGCTGAGGGTGGAGACACAAAATCATCCAGTGGAATTACCTTGTCCTGGGAAAACGACAAAAAGGAGAGGTAAATGAAAAGGTTGTTCTAGGGACAGGTGCTGGATCGCTTAGCTTTTGAGAAATGGGAAGAGCGAAGAGATTGGAGACAAGTTCAAGGGCCTTATTTGTGCAGCAAGCCCCAGCACTAAAAAGGTTTGATGACTGCAATCGATAGAGTTGTCTGAGGATTACATAATAGATCAATCAGTTGGTAAATTGGTGTTACAGGGATGGATCGGATTCGAGGTGCGCTCGTTTCCACATTGCAAATCTATGAAGAGGGATTTTCCAGGATGATTAAGTTTTAATAGTTCAATGCCATGTTTTGTCAGACAATATGCAGATGCAGAATTCGATCCTAACTTAACTAGAACAGGAAACCAAATTTATTGCAATTGTGAACATCCTAGACCGAAAACGGGAGAAGGTACAGAAAAGAACATTTTAATATACAACCAAAGCTTACAGCTGAACATGTGCTTCATCTACAAAATTAAAAATTTAGCATAGACCGTAGATTTCCAGAACAACATTCCAATTCTTCAATTAAGAGATCACATTAACTTCTATCTAAGCTGTCACAGAAGTCTCTACAGCGATGGCACCAGAGTAACCGACTTCCGACTTCAAATCAGCTTCCCATAGTTCAGGCAATGCTTCCCTCAGGTTGTGGATGCTTTCCAATGCATAATCTGCGCCTTTACACCGTTGAGAAGTTCCAATCTGCACATGTTTTACAATCGTCTTCGGATTCAGTAATTAACAATAGTGAAGATTTCGGTACAGGGCTCCAGTTTTTACTCACCAGCACAGTGTGAAGTCCAACTCTTTTCCCTGCCTGTATGTTGCGAACGCTATCATCAAAGAATATCTGAGACACAAGAACCAGATAAGAGAAATATTACTCAGTATTATGACATAAGAGCAGGTCAGCTGCAAAAATGGCTGTTAGAGATAATCTCACCGTTCTGTGAGGATTGACGTCAGCAATCCTAAGTGCTTGCTCTATGGCTTCCTCCGATGGTTTACATACAACTGGCGTCTTTGGTAATCCCAAACCCAGATTGGGTCCTGAAAAATGCCCGATGATGTCAAAAATCTCTGAACTCCCACTGTTAGCACTGCCAGGTGATTCCACAAACTCAACGTCGTCCTCATCGCCAGATGCAACACTGCCGCGAACAGTGTTTAATGTCTCAAAGCAAATGATCCCTTCAAAGCAGTCTTCAAGGCCGAGCCTGCTCAAAACTTTTGCGGCATGGATCTTATCCGCATTCGTGAATATCTGGTCAATTCGCAGAATGATGTCAGAGGTGTTTCAAGGGTACTCATGAATAACTGTGTCATTAGGCTGGGATATAGACGGCGAGGCACATACAATTTTGCGGTATGGCAGGCTGAGCAAGAGACTCCGAAGTACCGGGTCTGGTTTCAAGTTTTCATAGGGCAATCTTCCGTGGACGAAACTGTAGAACCCATAATACTTTTAGCCACATTCATATCATCAATAACAAGAAAAAATTCTTCATCTAGTCAATTCAGATTTTAATAAAGGGTGGCTTCACTTTGTCTTACCTATGGTACTGGTCATAATCGAAGTCATAGCCAATCCCCTGCTCAGGAAATGGCCAAAAGCAAAAAATCAATATAATCGTCTAACTAACCATACGCCCATCAGAAAACTTTAGAAAATGGTGAGTAACTACGGAGGGCAATGACCAAAATCATACCCTGAGACCAGCCATTGTTGTCCCATAGTTTTTGTACAGGAGGTTGCACAGAGCATCCAATTTGCTCTCATCTATGCCAAGCTTTTCAACCATATAATCTACAGAAAGAAAAATGAAAAAAACGAAAGGACCCACGTCAGAAACTGCGCTAACAAATTAATCTCCTCCTCAGCAGTCAGCACCCAAGTACAGTTCAAATAGAGAAGACAGAGAGTTGAGGCAAGACATGGCCAATTTACCTTGAATATTCTCCAGGCATCCTTTGGCAATGCCACAACTGAGCGGATAAAGGGTGTCATCTAAATCTGCAAAATGCATGTCAAAGACAGTACTTTTTCATCAATCCTCCTATTCTCAACAGAAAAATTCAAAGATTTGAGGAAACATGCATACAAAAGAGAGATCCAAAAACATGGGGCGGGAGGTTAATATTACCAAAGAGAAGGCAGTCATATTTGGGACTCTGAGATGGGCAAAACAGGTCCTGGAACTCCATCTCCGTCACAGAACCTTGAAAAGGAAACGAAGAGGCATGAGTAAAACGTTCCATCGAAGTCTCGAGTCCCCTAAGGTTATCTGAAAGTTCAGTCTGAGCATTAAAGTGAGGAACTTCATGGCTGGTACGAAGTCAAGAGTCTTCGCTCAGATGACAGACAGAGAAAGGAAACAGTTAAAGATGATGAGTGGCCATTAACAGATGGATGGCTCGGTTTTGTTGAGGAAACAAGCCATGGACAACCACCACCACCACCACCACCACCGTGTGGTGGAGGTGGAAGAACAATTGGACGGTGGTGGTGGTGGAAGGACAATTGGACCACTGGATTTTCCATCAACTGAACAAGTGGTCCATCCACCTCACTCAGGCGCGTGACTCAGAAAAATTGGTTTCGATTTTTAAAACTAGCATTAATAAGAGAACATGTGAGCTTGTCAGCCATAGGAAAAGTCGTGAGGAAATCCAGAAGACAGACGAGCATGACGAAACGACATCGGATGGAGTCGGCAAAGAGGAACAATGTCATTTTTTTTTTCAAAAATTGGTATTTTCTAATTGCATGGCAATTCTACTTTCAAACGTAGTATGTATGGACGACACCCATCTTGACATCAATGGGCCACTAGTAACCGTCCATTTGGAAGAGTTGATTGACTTGAAGTCTCCATTATAAAAAAAAGAAAGATGCCCTTTTAGAGCGTATGCTCCAGAAGTTGCTTCCAACAAGAAGTCCCAACTCCACAACTTTGTCCAACAAAACACGGACTCCAACAAAAAGAACCCAATTGAGCTTCATCTAAAGAAACTTAACGTTAAACGTACCGGTCGAAGATGAGCAATGCAGGTATTACAAGCAAGAAACAGAAATGAACGAAGGTGGTTCAATGCGAAAGAGCAGAGAGAGGCAAGAGGGAGCGGGGGAGGAAGAAGGGGAGGCAGAGATGGAGTATATATAGGCAAGAAACCACGAAGGGCCTTTTGGTTCATTATCACGAGTCGCTTTCATATGGAAATAATCTAGTGTTTTAGCTTGTTCACGTTTAGTTGATTAACTAATTGATTAATAGCGAAAACGAAGTTGACAGGAAACCACACTGTTCTTGCCTAGCCCAAATAAAAACACACAAACTCGAAAAAACAATTTGGGGAAGATCCCATCAAGATTGGCATTAGAAAAGTCAAACAAGAAAACCAAAAAGAGTTGTACTTTCTCGACTCTTTCTGGCCCGTGAATTCAATTCCACAACAGAGTACGTAGTCCTTGGAGTTGGATCCGCTTGTTTATTCTTTTCAATGGAGAAGGGGGTTCTATTTTAAGTTAATTAATTTCGAGCCAATAAATATATTCTTATTTATATAGGTCATATATTAAAAAAAGACCAGGTGGTCGATTCATACATAGAGTTTATAGGCGCATTTTATTCACATATAGGTGGCCTTATTCTTCGCTATGAGGTCAATTCCGTTTGGTCATTCTTTTGATCAACTTATTCACTCATTGTGTGCAGTACATTCCATAGAACCGAATCTCGTGGGATAATTTCCAAAACGACGCGCAATTATGTGCGCAAACCATGAACTTGGAATTTGGTCCTCTCCTTATAATTTTTTTGTAAAGTGAAAAACCTACAAAACCGGTGATCAAGGAGGATGGCAACCCCGCATTAGTCCCTCCTCCCCGATCTACCATAAACTAGTTACATAGCATGTGCTAAAGTGCGGGTACGCGTTCGTAAATACATTTTCTTTTACTGTTGTTTGGACTCATATAGAATTTTCAACACGACTTTATATTAAAAGATGTGCCAATTTATATTAATTTCAATAATGGAGTACAATATCTATTTATAATATTGAATCGTAGAAGCTCTACGACTCTTTCTTCTGTGGGACAAGATCTTCGAGGGCTTGATGGCTTAATATCTCATTGAATATCACAAAAATCGAATCCTCCCCACGAACGGGACCTAATGGCTGGTTCTCAAGTTGAAGACGATTTGAAATCTAAATAAATATCCAATATATTTTAATATCGACCTAATAAATGTTGATATAATTCATTTAATTGATTAATTATGGAATGATAAGCTCTTATCTGATTCTTTTTTCCTCTAGAAGTATCTCAATTTCAAATTTAGTAGATTTAGTGAAAGTGAAGTTTTTGGCCCTAAGAGTTCATTGTATATTGATTGATAACATTTTCATGTCAGCAGCATAACTAAAGAATGAAAAACTTTTTCATACACAAAGAATAATTTATTCAAAATCCACTCAATTATTGGTCCCCAAGTACTAATTAATAAAAGATTTATTGGTCCCCATTCATCCTCTCCCTCCCTTGCGGTCTTCCAACGTGTTCTTGATGGCAAGCAACCGGATGGACCCTTCCTAACTTGGTTGCTTTCGGCACAAAAGAAATTCCTCCGGATTTGGTAAAGTTATTAGGTATTTCCCTTGCTCGTAAAATGACATATTGCTAGTAGATTTACTCCTTTTTCTTTTGGTAAATCTAATTTCTTATTTTTCCATAATCAAACGGGGATTAGCAATTTGGCTCTTCATCACAAAAATATGTATGCGGTAATTTATTAGGGGTTAATACTACATAAAAACTCCAAACTAGTACACACGTGATAATTTTATCCAAAACTAATTTTTTGATCACCAAAAATCCCAAATTGATACGTACATTTGTGATAATTTTACCCTCTATTAGTTTCCGTTAAATTTTATTGTCAAATTTATGAGTTGGATGACACGTGGCAGTTGTCTGGTGTATCAGTTTGGGGTTTTACCATCCGTTTGTTACTGGTGTACCAGTTTGTGATTTTTCACGGTATTAATCTAATTTAACGGAGGGCAAATTTGTCACAGGTATACCGGTTTGGGATTTTTCATGACAAAAAAATTAGTTTGGGGTAATTTTATCCCAGATGTACCCATTTAGAGTTTTTTTTGTGGTATTAACCCACTTATTAGCTAAAAAATTAAGGATTTTGTTAGGTAACACGTCATTTATTCATGCCAATTGCCACTTTCAGTAGCCCTCATGCGATTTCCAAGATGCTGATTTTCCTCATGTCGTGGAGCACGCACACATGTTTTTTATTGTTTCATTTACAGGAGCCGTGAGTGCGTAAAGCAAGGAAGAAGCATTGAAATTCAACATTAGACCGCTGAAGGAATGTGATTTACCGACTGATTAAATATTACTTTTTTTCGAGGTTTGATTTGCTGTCAACGAGGGAGAGATGCGAGGATTTGGGATTCTGAAGTTGGATGCCAAATCGTGAGGCCACTTGCGAAGGCACAGACGTGGAGAAGTGGTCAATTACCACCGGCTACCATAAAGTGTCAAGATTGGAGTAAAATTTAGCACGCCCGTGATCCATTGTCGTCTTTCCCTTATTTAAAGAAGAGAGGAGTGTGGAAGCGAAATTGAGATCTTTGGGAAAGTCTTTGGTCAAATTGGTGGTGATGCTTTTGGGTGGTGATAGCTGTAAAGCACGGCCAGTTCGAAATATCTGGGAAGGTTGGTTCGAGGGGCATCTTCCTTCCGTGGAAAAGATGGGCGCGAATGATTCGAATTTTGGATCCGTGAATCGAGCAAACAAAAATAATATTTGGGCTTTGTATCGTATGATAATATATTGGGAAAATAACACAAACGGTCCTTGAAATTTGATCCAATTTTTAATGCGATCCCTGAACTTTTAATTTGTTCAATATGGTCCATGAATTTTAACCTAATGTGCAATGTGGTCCCTGAACTTTTAATTTGTTCAATGCGGTCCTTAAACTTTTGGTAGAAGCTTAATTTAGTCCCCGAACCATATGAAAATGTTCAATATAAGACTATATTGAACATTTTCATATAGTTCAGGGATTACGTCGAATATGTACCAAAAGTCCAGGATCATATTGAACAAATTAAAATTTAAGGGACCGCATTAAATATTAGGCTAAAGTTTAGGGACTACATTGAACAAATTAAAAGTGCAGGGACCACATTGCATATTTGACCAAAGTTTTGAGACTGCTTTTGTCATTATCCCTCATCAATTACTTAGATTTCAGAATATCGATTCATCTACGACGAGGGATGAGTAGGATTGAAATGGAGGCCGAATAAATTCGAGAAAAGTGAAATAAAGTTAGCAAAATACTATGAACGGACTTGAAATGTGGTCCGGACCCGAATTGAAATGAGTTGAATCGAAAGATTTGGATTTGTTCCAAATTGAACCAGACAAAATTGCATTCTTCCCCCTCTTTGGTCGCTAGTTTCAAGCTCAATTTCTTAAAAAAATATATAAATTAAAGTTTGTGCCGGTTTATCTGTGATGAATTGCGATTATATGTTGTAATGCTCAAAATTGAGGTGTTGGATTTTCTTACTCTGTATATATGCAAACGGTTTTTCTTTTTAATTTCTAAAAGCATTCATTTTGTGCATCTAAGTCTAGTACTTGCAATTTCAATGTACTTTGAGTCCGTCTGTTTAACTTCGTCAGTTTTAAGTGAATGGAAATGCTATGTGGCTTTTTTTCTTTTTTATTTTTTCAACCTTACTTGGCCGTGAATATAAGCTGCTGCGTAGATTTTCTGTCCACTAAAACCTGACAAAGCTAATGAAAAGGACTAAAGCGGATGACTTTAACAAGTTCTACACGACTTAAATGCAAGTTCTGGGATGATAGTGCATCGGTGCGACAAGTAGCGGGACTCCTATTGTGTAATTGTCCGATTTCCCTTTTTATGGAGACACGGTGTGCGCGCCCCTCTTTTCCTAGTTTTGAAGGATTGAAACAATGTGCTAGAACTTTTATTTGTTATATCAAATCTACATAGAATTGATTAAGAAGCCACGATAAAATATATCCATTTTGTTTGAAAGATGCAAATCAAATGATGAACTCAAATTGCATTTGTCATGTCTCAGTAAAGTTATGATTCAACATTGTATTCTCTTGGATCTTACTTTATGTGTATTGACAATCCCATTCTGTAATCTTTTCCTGCCTGTTATGTTCCGTGTAAGAAAATATGATTTTCTATTGACATTATGTATACGCCTTCGTAAGTAATGTAATCTATGTTGTTTAGGTAGAATTTTCCATTCTGTGAAAAGGAATTATTCAAACGAAGATGAAGTCAACATTGACTGAATATTGATTGAAAAAGTTCCCGTTGAAAAAGAATTTTCCTTAATTATATAATCAGTAGACATCAAAGAGAAAACCTTCCCGTCCACAAATTATTTAGATTCACATAAAAAAATTCAAGAAAAAATCTTTGAACTTTGTAGTAATTTTTTAAGCTTATTGATAGTCACTACACAACATACTACGTG